AGGAAATGATAAGTCATCATCTTGCCTGTTGTTTCTTTAAAAAAAAAAAAAGAAAGAAAGAAAGAAAAAGCTGAACTAGCAGCTCTGGAAACACATGCCCCTTTTTATACAGATTCAGTCTTCTGCGTAATCCTTTATTCTCCACTTAATGGCCTGCACAACCACAAATGTCAGCATTTCCCTACTCCTTACAGGAAACACGATCACATACGCTGAGCTGCGTGTGAAGCCAAAACCCAGAGGGAGCAGCAGATCAGAGACTTCCGCTTCAGGTAGGGTGCTATTCTGTTTGGCTGTTGATTGCTAATTATAGATTTAGCCTTTCCTATTACCTAACAGTGAAACCTGTTATCAAGGGTCTTTATGAACAATCTCAGAGTAAAGAACCGATTTATCATTTCACATGCTTTCTTCCACTAGGTTCTCAGATAGTGAAAGAGATTTTAAAAATAATTTTTAAAAATGCCTTCATGCCCTACATTGAAAATTTAGCAAAAGGAAAGTAAAATTTCACATGATTTTAGGAACTCCCCTGTAAGTGTCTCTGCAGGAAGTCACAGGGACACATTTGGCTTTGGAAGTAGCATCATGCTCAGCTCTTTATTTGCAGTTCACCCATTGATGATTGCCACCTTCTCTATACTGAAGGACATGTGTCAGACAAGGTCAGGGCCACAGAATTCTCTAAGCTGAAAGGAAATAACACTTCCTCAGGGAGACGGTGATCAGGCATTGGAATGCACTGCCCAGGGAAGTGGTGGAGTCACGGTCACTGGAGGTGTTTAAGGAGAGGCTGGATGTGGCACTTAGTGCCTGGTCTGGCCGTTGTGATGCTGTTGAGTCACAGGCTGGACTTGATGATCTCAGAGGTCTTTTCCAGCCTCAACAATTCTGTGATTCTGTGATTCTGTGCAACATTATAAAATACCTCTCAGCCAGCTGGAGAACGGGGAAGTTGCTCACCTTGTGCAGGCAAGGTCAGGAAAACAGCAGTTAAACGAAAGTGCAACTCTGTGGCTTGTGGAAATGACACCTTCACCCCAAATTTCCTTCTGGTCCTGCCTCTTCCTGAGTGGTTCACTCCCACAAGCTGAGGACTGCCAAACGTCTGGGGAGGTGCTTGGTCAGATATACTTCACTGTGCTACAGTGCCAGCATGGGATTTTTTTTTGCCTTTTCTGTGCATTCAGGCAAGTTAGGTTTCAGCCACACAACAGGCACATTAACACAGGAGTGTGACCAGAGAGAAGGAACACACCACAGATCTTCCCTGATACTTGCCCTGGATTGCTCTGGAGGGTCTTGCAGGGTGTGGGTGGATAGTTGGGAGAAGGCAATACGTGAAAAAATAAACAGAGAAAGAGAGCATTCTTGATGGAATGATGGATTGAAAATCACTTGCTCTATCTGACAAAGTGATCTCGATTTCACTTTCATGTGTGCAAAATGGATGCAAATTTTTAAAAAGTAAAATGTCCCCGCACGCTTAAAGCAGCAGACTGATTTTAGGCAGATGATTGTTTCTGTGTGAGAAACTGGCGTATGTAAAGGCAGTGTTAATTTTAATAGTGCAAAGACCTTAAGTTGCTCTTCCTCCTGCCTCCCTCCAGGCTGCCGACATAGGTGCTCAGTCTGGTTCTACGTGGCTCTGGTCTTGGGGGTCCTTGTACTCATCCTGCTGGGCACCACAGCTGTACTGGCCAAGCAATGTGAGTAGATCCTACCATCCACTTCACCTCTTCATTGCAAGCACGGTTAAACCTCCCAAGCGGAGTGGTGCCAAAAGAAAAATGCCCTTAGTGTCGCGTTAACAGTGTCAAGTTATACATAAATACAGGAAAATAAATACAGGGTTCCAAAGCCACCTGTCATTTAATGTATATAGTGCAGATGAAGGGGAGTTGCTGCAATCTACCTTGCCATCAGTGATACTGAGAGGCTGTAGAAGCATATTTCAAATCATTAGGACAATCAAAATATATGGCCTTCCCCACTTACAAGTTAAAAGATGCATCCATGATGCTACTTTGAGAGGTTTTTGCTTTATTATTTTGTAGGTTTGAACAAACAAAAAATCAGACTTCAGATAATTTAATTTAGTCAGTCTACCCTGGTGGCAGTGATGTCATAATCCTCAACATGCTCAGCATGTTATACAAGAACTGTTCCAGAGAAGATATTAATTTCCTAAGAGAAAAAAACATGAGTCTCCCAACTTGTACCTTCCGTGATACCTCCCTGAAATCTCACCAAAATATTGTATGTTCTTTACATATCCAAATCAAAACTTAAGACCTTATTTTCTTTTCCTGTAGTGTCTGTATTTTTCAGCAGCTACACCCTTTGCCAGGCAGTTACACCCACTGAATATGCTCATAACTGTGTATAGCCCCATCCCCCGAGTGCATACACACACACATCCTCAGACTAGGACAACAGAATAATACTGGCTATAAAAATTGCATTTCCTTGACTCTGTTGTTAACTGTAACCTCTTTTTTGTTGTTGTTGTTCAAGTTTTGAAGGGCAGAGCAGGAAAATCAGAAAGACTGTCCCACTATGGTCTAAACAGCACTGGCAATCACAGTTCTTCAGAGAAGACTGTCTCGGCAGTGCTCCTGAAATGGCTCATGGAGGAGCTATGTGAAGATGGACAGGGTGAGGAAAGTTATTTCTCTCACAGCATAGAGGACGTGTTGCATGCACACTTCTGGTGTCTCTGTTCCCATTTCTATGACACCCCGCAGTTTATGGGAACTCACTGGTACTACCCACGGAGCAGGGTGTTCCTGCACAGAAGTGATGACAGGTTATAAACTAACATTTTAAGGACAGTAGTTTTGCTTCTCTTTCAGCATAAAGAGTTTCCAGTACTTTCTTTACACTGCTTTCTGCCAGGAGCTGCTGTCAGAAATTCCATATATTGTTGATCCTCTTGTTATGGAGAATGTTTTCCAGACAACAGTTGTTTGCAGCAAAGTGTAGGAGGGAATTTAGCTTTCCTGTCCTGTTGCAAGGATCAGGCAGGGGAAGACCTTCCTGGTCTTTTTTACTGTGGAACTATTATTTGTTGGCAGACACTAATGGTTTTTAAAAAACTGATTGCAATGATGTTATGTGGAAACATTAGAGGAAGCCAAGACAGAAAATGCGGGGGATATACCTCCTAGATGTTCTACATGAAATGGGAAGTAGATCTGGGAATAGAAGTGTTCCTCTTATTTAACAGCTTTTTGTTTGGCTCCATAGACATCATATAGATGCCATCTCAGTGTCTCTGCTTTCTGCTCACACCATGGATCAAATCGACACAAGCCACATCCCATGGTGTCGCCTCACAAGGGCAGCATGAGAAGTGTCTTCGCAGCCCTGGAGGTCCTGCCACCGCTCTCCACTTGGGCAGGTGCACAGGGAGGTGGAGAGCCCAATGACGTGCAGTGGGAGTGCAGAAGTACAGAGTACCATGGCAGGGGAGTGGGAAGCTGAGCAGACCAGTGGAGCTGGAGACTCCAAATCTCTCTCCACACCCAGCAGACACATGCTTGGGAGTGGGGAGCAGATGCTTTTGGATCAGCCAGCCAGGCACATGAACATAAAATGCTACAAGGGAACTGCAACGTCGGGGTAGGAGCCAATGGTTCCCTCTTCTTCACCCACAGGAACAACATGTGAGCTGTGTCCTCCTGGTTGGCAACTACACAGGGGCAGATGTTACTACTTCTCTGAGGAGGCTGTAAGCTGGGATGACAGCCAGAGAAACTGCCTGGCCAAGAAATCCCGCCTCCTTGTAATTGAAGATGAAATTGAGATGGTAAGTCTTGCAGCAGCCCTAAAATTGTGCAACAGGCATCTGCCTTAGTCAAACATTTCACCAAATGAACGTGGCCCAGATGCAGACAAGTGAGAGCCCCTTTAAGTGCAGAGCATCTGGCTTGCCACTGACAGAAGCTTGTTTTAGACTGTCTACAGAGGTAGAGCTGAAGAGAAGCACAAGAGATGGAAGTGTGAAAGCCAGAGTAGCTCTGACTGGGAGGATGAAATGCTAAGGGCTTCCCACCCATTTCCATTATTTGGCTCTAAGAAGAGAGGTCTAATTCAACCACTAAATGGAAGTTCACACAGCCAAAAACCTCCTTCTCATTTTCCTTTGGGAAAATGAATAGCAAGCTATCACCGAATGGCTTTTCTGAGAAACTCATAATTCCCTGAGGAACAGGTCTTTTACCTTAAAGACCAGACCTTTACAACCTGGCTCACTGGGGCAAGCAGCATGACTGAGGGCTTTTCCGACAGCTGACGGGAAGCTTGCCAGATTGAGCACCAGCCTGAACTGAAACTCTGTACATAGCTGGTCACACGTATACAGCTGTTTGCCATGGCTGGATCCTTGCCTTAACTCTCCAGGTGAGGGACAACACGAAAAGCAATGCAGGACACAGGGCAGTGACCTGAATATAGCAGAAAAGTTCTGCTGCTGGATAACCTGCTTCTACTTGTTCCACAGGAGTTTATAGACAATAAAGAGAAAGATACCAAATATATCTGGATTGGGTCGAAGGTTCCAGATGTGAAAAAACAATGGCGTTCTGCTGAAGATCATAGAATAAGAGAAAACAGGTAATTATTTATGGGGGAAGGGTGTCTTTGGCAAAAGTAAAGGTACAGTACTCTGCACGGAAATACAGCTCTGAATCCAAGCTAGTTTTCCAAAGCATAGATCTAGTCCTGCAGGCTCAGGCACTTATTCAGGGTCTGTTTCACAGCCAGTTCCAGGTTAACTGGTTCCTGCTGGGCACGTTTGGAAACAGATTTGTCTTCCAACTTCAGCACCAACCATAGTCACAGTTCATATATATATTAATGCAGAGGGACATTAATACACACTTCTCCCACTGAAATCACCGCCAGCAAACCCTCTCACTGCAGACCATGTGCTAACCACCTCCCTTGAAAGCTGCCTGTCACATAGGGTGGGTGCTGGGATCTGTGCAGCTGAAGGGTCCTTCCCCTCCCTCTTACCATTACAGTTCGACATGGTGGCTGCACACAGAGGTTTTCTCATCCTTCTTACACCAATGGTCCTGAGCATCCATCCCTCCACTGCCAGCAGTCTCTGCTGTGGGTACCCATCCCCGCTATGCATGGCTGTCGAGGAACTGTGCTTCAGTGGGCCATCAAATGGACATCACCCAAAGCCCTCACTCAGGATATTACCAATATTTTTATCCAGTACCAAATTTAAAGCTGACAACTTATTTTGCTCCTTTTGTTCTCTCACCAGGAGATCTATAAACAGAATTGAGACTGACAAGAACTGTGCTGTCTACAGAAGAAAAAACATGATCCAAGCAGACAACTGCCAGACGTTGAAGAAGTGGATCTGTAAGAAGAATGCAACTTTGTTGGTGCTCTGAGCCAAAATGTCAGACAACAGGCAGAGCTTTTTGTCAGAAGACCCATTGTATTGATAAAAAAACACACGATGTAAATAGTTTTATGAGACATGCGCAGAAATTTGCATTTTGCTGTTTGGTGCAAACTGGGGAGTCCGCTGTTGCTAGATGTCAGTGTGAAGGTCACGTAACAGGACCACAAGTCAGCTCACGTGGATCTGGGAGTGCTGAGCCCTCCCACAGACAGACCCTGGCAGCAGCTGCCTCTAGGAAAGGCCAGGGCAGAAGAGGTACGAACGTGAGGATGAGCACTGTGCACATGAACTGCGTCATGGGCAGGAAAGATGCCATCTAAAGGGGCTGAAGGGCATTCAGAGCCTGCTGCCGGAGTACATATCCCTCTGGCAGCCGTTGCTGAGTCGATGCACTTTTTATTTGGGTTTCAATATTTTAGTGTTTTCTGAAGTTTGTGAGTTTTTCCCCTTCAGTCTAATTGTGACTTAAAGAAGCCACTTGAGTGCTGGGGAAAATGCATTTATTCCACAGTGTCTTACACTTAGAATCACAGAACCGTTTTAGCTGCAGGAGACTTTCAAGATCATCGAGTCCAACCTTTTCCTAGCCCTATCAACACCCCTAAACTATGTCCTCCAATGCAACATCTACTATTCTCTTAAACACCTCCAGGGATGGTGACTCAGTCACCTCCCTGGGCAGCCTGTTCCAGTGCCTGACAATCCTTTCAGTAAAGAAATCCTTCCTAATATTCAACCTGAACCTCCCCTGGTGCAACTTAAAGCCATTTCCCCTCATCCTATCACTCACCATTAGGGAGAATAGACCAACTCCTGTCTCTCTACAACCTTCTTTCAAGTGGTTGTAGAGAGCAATAAGGTCTCCCCTCAATCTTCTCTTCTCTAGGCTAAATAGCCCCAGATCCCTCAGCCAATCCTAATAGTACATATGTTCCAAATTCTTTATCAGCTTGGCAGCCGGCCTCTGTACCCTCTCCAGCACTTTTTCAGTGCTGACCTGCACAACTACTGGGTATACAGATACCAGACCAAGCACAATTATGGTTAATAAACTGGTGGCTCCCATCTTCTTCTAATGCTGAACCTTGGGATCTGAAAGAAAGCTCTTTATTAGAGAAAGGGCTTGGACCATAAGACAACATTGTAATGCAAGGAAATGGAAATAATAGCCTGTGTTTCCAGCTATATCTTGTCCCTTTACATTGCAAATTCTTTAACATGAAACCATAGTTACTGCCTGGAAGGTATGATGATAAGGTACTCAGGCAAAAGCCTGGTAAAATTAATGCCTGTGAGTGCACTCATTAAATACATTACTCCGGCACATTACTTAGGCATCAAAGTGTGATGGATACACAGTATTTCTAGATCTAAAATACAAAACTGCTAAAAGCAGTCTGACTTAGTGCTTTTATTAAACTCATGTATTTGAAAAAAAAATGAATAAATGTCATTAATTGATTTTTAAGAAATCAGACACACACTTGTTTCACCTTTTAATAAAGGTAGTAACTCCTCTAGATCTGTAGTCAGCATGTGTCTTGCAAAGGTGTAAAATCTATTTCTCTGTGCCTACAGACAGGGTTGCTTAATTCAACTTCAGGCAGGATGTCTTCAAATGCCCCTGATGTTAACTCTACTACATTGTGCTTCCCATAGTAAGAAGCTGAATTTCTACCTCGTTTCATAGAATTAAGCAGTAATTTATAGCAGAAGGGATCTCAAGGCCCTTTTGGGGCCAAATTCTAAGTTCCCAGAGTTTTGCTATCGCTTTACGTATTTTTACGCTAGCCACATGGGGTTAGCTGTTTGAGTACACAAAACAAAACCTGACAGTAAAATCCAAGGTGCTACTCTCACAAAAAAACGCACAGACTGGAATTAAAGTCCTTATTAGCAATGAGACAAACAATTCCAATCTGGCTTCCGAAGTGTAGAGCCTTTATCTCGTCTTTGCTATGATACACATAATTACAGAGGCAGCTGCAGTTTCCCAGTTACGTTGTCTCACACCTGCACCAGATGTCTAGTGCCCCTATGGAGTGCTGTGGTTAATGTCTAGCAACTTGTGATGGGTAGCCAACCAACAGACACGCTTGGACATGAGCTCTTGGTGTAAAGTCCCATGGCTTTAGCACACACGTGACTGTGGCTGTGGAACAAAATGCTCATGAGCAATATGGTAACACCAACAGACTGACAGTGTCCACCCACGGACACTGATGGGCAACACCTCGCTTAATTACAGACAGACATGACAGGAAGGTAGCGGGTGCTGAGAGCTGAGTAAGTGTAGAGATCTTCAGTCAAAAGAGACACAAAGGACGTGATGCAGCCTGCTGCATTCTGCAGGCACAGTGCTCTGGCTCTTCAGAAGGACTTTGGGGTAGAGATTAAAAAGTGAACTGCACCTCTAGTGTGCCTAACTTCCTTTCACATGAAAAAGCAACACAGATTTAACCTACAGAATGCAGCATCAGCAGCTAAAGAGTCATTTGAAAAATAGCTGCTATTCTTACGTTAAAAAAAAACAACGAAAAAAATCCCCCGAACTCAGTGCAGCATGTGTATGAGGAAGAGAATTTGCTTGTTTACTCCAGACAGAGAAGCAAAGAGTCCAAAATAAATAAGATATATCTATCTACAAAAGCTATACCTACAATATACATTTCATATCTTAAGAGAGAGAAAGAGATTCTCCATTGAGAAAAAAAAAGAAACTTCAGGGTTCTTAAAGCATACCCTTATTCATGCATTGGATGCGACTGCTGAATTGATGCTTTTATGGCAGATGTTTCTTGAGCCACAATGAAGTTAGCAAGAAAAGCTTAGAACTCCTGAGCTGGCTTCTCTCAAATTAGTCGTGGTTATTATGTTTTAACAGTATTCATGAAGCATATAGTATTTGAGTATTCTGACTATTACTAACGTAATTAAACTTGATTTTCCAGGGCTTTACTGAAGCTCTTACTTGTTTTTAAGCAGTCACTAAAGGCCATTAAAGTACTTCATCAAACCCTACTCTGAGTAAAGTGAGTTTGCAGCTTGACTGTTCCTTTCTTAGCATGAGAGACTTCATATACTAAAGATGTTCATTGCACCTCTTAAGAGTCAGATTACAAAAGAGCTCTCACTATAACCTACTGTGCTCACAGCTTCTCCAAAGCCTCCTTTTAGAACCAAAATTTCTCATTTTTGGACTAAGTCCATAAACAACATTGATGGAAAAAACAAACATTATTTTTTATTTAACAGAAACATTCAGGTGCATGAGCTCATTAAGAAAGGCTAAGACACGTGGTATGTGCATGTAATTTCTACCAAATTTTTGAAACGTACCTCTAGTGCATGCAAATAGTGGGAAAACTTGGCAAAAGTGAACAGTGGAAAACCCCAAATTTCCCTCCAAAGTTACTGTACTGTGTGTTTCACTATGCACATCTCAGCATTTCTACAGAATTACTTCAGTTAAATGCTTTTGTTAAAAGTCTGACAGATTTTGAAGTGTGAAAATGTGTTAAAAGTGTTAGAAACTTAAATGCGTTCTTTTTTGGTGTCAAATGCCTTTTCTTGTGTCAACTCCAACATTATGATTAAAGATCTTTTCATATTCAAAACCTGAAAATTCTCTTTTTTCCCCCCAAACAGTGCCTGACCTGAAAACCACTTTTAATGGCACAATATTATGACATAAATCACTGTAATTCTGATGTTCTGCAAAAATATTTATTATCTTTTTAGTACTATTGCACATTCCATATCCTTCAGAACTATTTAACTGAAAAACACTGAACTAGTTACATATAAATTAACACATAGATTATTAGGTTATTCATACTGTAGAGCCCTTTTACTATGCCCATAAAGAATACAAGCCATTAAAAAAGTGCAGTTTAGTAAAACTAGTGATCATACATATATAAACATCTTAAAGTCACAAGTTGTTAACGATATCCATACTGGACAGTCCCACTCGAGTCCTGCTGCAACAGAAAATACTGAAGGCATGAAAAGGACATTGAACAAAACCAGACAGCAATTAAATTTGCATAAAAACACGGTGAAGGCAAAAATAATTAAAAGTTGGCCAAAAACCCCAAATGGACCAATAACACTCCTAATAACCTGTCAAACATGGTGCAATTTTACATTCTTTAGAGCTCTTAAGTGGGAACACAATTATCTTCCCTTCTTTGAAACCACAGTGCGCTCTAGTGGCTACTCCAAAAGTGGCTCCACTTCTTCCTTCAAGAAGTCCCACAAGTTCTCTGGAGCACCCAAAGTGCAACAAACTCAAATTTTCCAGGTTTTATTTCAAGCAGGGAAGTATTTTTCTGTGCTATACGTGTGAATTTCCCATTCCACCTCTCTAGAAATCCCATAGGAATAGTCCTTCTGGAAAAAGGGGCAGCTTTGCTTCCTCTGCGTCAAATGGCACTTTGAACCTTCAGGTTACCTGCTAGACATGAGTGGACATGGTTCAGGAGGATTGTGCCTTAATTCTGTTCAGGGTCACAGCAATTCAACAGCACTAGCTGTTGCTGCTGAAAGTGATACGCACACAGAAGAAAACACTGATTTTTGCATCCAGAAACGTGCCACTTGCTCAGAAGCCTCATGCTCCAACAGGCACAGGGCATGAGGAAGCCACAGAGAAAAGTCCTTTGCTGTTAATTCTCTTACTCTCAACTCATTCAAATACTCGTTGCCTATTCTCACTGAGTACATTAATGTCTGCAGCTTCACTATTACTTTTTCATTTCAAACTCTTTTTCCCCCATCAGTGCAGATGCTCCCAGGTAAGTAAATCATCTAGAACTTCAAGTGCAGCTACATAAATTTCAACGGCAATGCTGTCAAGCTAATTTAAAAAGATGAATGTGAAGTAACATTAACAAGACACTGAACAGAATGCAGAGTCACACAAGATAACCCCACCAGACTGGGAGAACAATGATCCTCTCTAAAACAACACTGGTCATTTCT